CAACTTCCTTCCTCTCGCCGACCACTTCGGCAAACTGCACTCCAAACAAGTCCATGGTTCGCAGGCAGGCCATGACGTCCGCTTGATCCAGGCTGCAGAAGACGAGCCGCGCGGCTCGCGTGCGCCTGGCTAAAGCGTTCCTGGCCCGGGCTACTCGCGCTGGCTCTCTGGTTTCCTCCAGAATCCTCTTCGCGCTGCGCAAGGCCACCGCACACGCGGCCCCATGGCTCCTCCAGCTCTTCGCGCGAACCGGCGCCGTCCTGCGCTCCCATCTTGGAATCCTCGCCAACGGCCTAGGCGGGTCCGGAGGTCTGGAGCACCAACTGGAAGTCTCAAATGCAGCTGATACCGTCGACCGCGTTGCTAAGATGCTCGGTTCAACCAATACAGGGCAGTGGAAACAAGATATATACTTGTATCTTACATTCAGAGGGTCCTCAAATGCAACCGACCCTCTTGTGACTGTTTGCAGCACATGACAACCAAAATGCTTAAAGTTCCTGGCGAAACACACTTCCAGGAACCTGCGCACGTGCAGACTTGGCATTTCTGCTGAAAAGTCTCGTGATTGGCACAGGTCCACGGGTGGCGGCATAGGCTGCTTCCATCGCGGCACGGGTTGGCAGAAGCGCCCTGTCCGGCAGCTGGGACTACCGTGCGCTTTTGTCTGGCTGTGCTTATACAGGCGATTCTTGTGCTACTAGAAACAAGCTGCAGGTGGGCCACAACTCAAGAACTTAGGATGGTATCCTTCCTTTGCACCCCAAGATTTTGATGACTGTGATAGCAATGCGGGCGCAATTGGTCTTAGTGATGCCAGCCCCACCAAGGGGAGCTTGCCACAATGAAGCTAAGGCATGACAAGCTTCCCAACAGCTCAACGGAGGTCTCAGTCTGTTTGGACATGAGACTCAAATGGATGCTCGACCCTGACTTGAGAACCGTGTCCGACGCCCCAGTTCAGTCAGCCCCATCACATTGCATACAGTGTACGCAAGAAGCCTGCTGCATCTTGAGCTTCTTCGCAAAATCCGCTCTGAAATACAATACCCTGGCCTGCATCGGGCCAGTGGGCCGCGACGGTTCAACCTAGAAGCGTATGGGACTACTGGACAAGGGAGGATGCAAAATGCAGAATCTGCGACTGCTGCAAGCCTCATACTCATTTAAAGTAGGCCCATAAACTTCCAGGTTGGACTGTCCCTGTCCTTCATTTACCCGGTTCTGATTCATGCTCACGTCACAAACCCGCCCTAAAGCATGCACTTCTCGCCTTGCCTCCAAGCGCTTGTGAAGCATGGCTCGAGACCATGCTTCTGCAGCTCTCACTAGTTGCGCTTCATCCAATGCAGACATTGGTTCCTGGCGTGCAACAGCAGCATGGGCCGAAATGTTGGATCCTGCAGTGACTGGGTTGCTTCACGGGTTGCCCATCAGCCCGCGCGGCAGGACGGGATCTGCTGCTTTCTTCTTCGTCGGTTTTGCAGTTCTCTGTACATGCATGCTCCGAGCTCCGATTGGGCGCGGGTGCAAACCCTAGTCACCCAAACAAAACTCTGTACAAGTCGGAGCGGCAAAACTCTAATACTCTCACTTGCGGCACCTGAGCACGGCTGAAAGGTCGCGGGTTCATTCGGAAAACAAAGATGATTCCGAAACTAACAACTGTGGTTCGGAAATCAAGCATTTCTCAGACACAAACATGCGAATAGCAATTCGTGGAAACCAAGGACGATTCGGACACCCACAAACTTGGTTCAGGCACAAAAAGCCGGGATCCGGCAACAACAAAAGTGCTCAAACCAAACTAGCGCGGATCCGGGACCAACAACAGTGCTCCTCAAGCCAAGCTAGCATTTCTCAGAAACAGAAGCGCCATAAACCCTTAACACACGTTGACCACGAGACAACCTACCTGCTCGCAGGCGAAGCTGAAAGCAATAACGCCTGCCCACAAAATGTGGCGTGCTCCCAACCTCCAGGACCCCACCCCGACCCCAAAGTAGCTTCTGCGAGGATCGACTTTGGTTCTATCCGGATCCTGCGTAGCTGCGCAAGTCACTTGATGTGGTGCTAAATACTCCCCACCCCCCACCCCCAAAATGCTCTCAAAATGATTCATGGCTCGCAAAATGCGGGTGTCCCAATGGCGGGTGTGTCCGAATCGCAGAGTTGTTGGTTTCCGACTCGGGGATTCTGCCGACTTCCTCGACCTCACCCTCCCCGACACCCAAGTCCCGGCTGTGGGCAGGCGCCTGCGGAGCACTCCGTCCACGAAGCGGCCCTCATCGAAGTCCTGGCGCTGCTTGAGCTGCGCTGCCGCCTTGGAGCTCCTGCGCGCGGCGCCGCAAGCCAGTCGCTTGCCGACCGCCCAGCACCTCCCCAGGCTTAGGGCCAATTTGGATCTCTGTGTCTGTGTCCCATCGAACCAGCGCCGCAGTTTTGGGGTTCTTATTTCAAGCTGTGGTATGCATTCTGCACACATCCAACAGCTTCCCCCAAAGTTGTTGGGAGCTGCGCGCTCGGCGAAAACCGACTCGCCTGATGCGCTCGAGCAGCTCGGCCTGCGACAGGTGCCCCTGCCGCTCCAGGTCGGCCCACTTTGCTGCGGCCTCCCCAAGCCCGCGCGCTTGACGGCGCCCCTCTGCCCCACAACTTCAGGATGCTCGTTCTTGCTTTCTTTCTTTCTTTCTTTCTTTCTTTCTTTCTTTCTTTCTTTCTTTCTTTCTTTCTTTCTTTCTTTCTTTCTTTTGGGAGGGTGTGTGTGTGTGTACTTGACAAATGTCTATTTTGCCGTTCATGTTAAGGGCCATTGGTGGCTCAATGCCTCAATGTTTCCACACAATGAGTCAACAAGGCAAGGCTGTCCCGCCCTACGCTCTGGGCCACGCTATGCCTTGTTCAAGTTCACCAGGTCCTTCCGCAAGCGGCTCGCCTGAGATGGAGCTGGAGATCTTCACTGCTGGGGCGGGCTAGCAGCTCACTTCAATCCCGAAGAAGTGAGGCGCCTGTAATTGAATGGGAACCTAAACAACAGTCATGTCAAGCAAACAGATTCCACAAAAGCTTCCGCGGATTCTTGGCTCGGGCATCCTCGTAAAAAGCATTGTTGAATCCATGCACAAATCTCGGGCAACCCTGCACAAAGCATCATGATTTTTGGTGCGGGCATCCATGCACAAAGTATCATTGAGTCTTGGCTAGGGCATGCTCGCAAGTATGTTGCTCAGCATGTTTCCCCTCCCCCACTACAGCAAGACGCACGCCAGAAAAACGTGCTGCAAGCTACTCTGGGGAGCTCTGCTCTTGGGGCAAATTCCGCGGAAATGTGGCGACTTTGGAAGCGAGTGATTTGTGGGGGCCAGGGTGCCGTAGGCGGTCCAATGTCCTCCGGGGCTTCCGTGCTGGCGTTGCTTTCCAAATCTTCCCAGCTCTCGGGAGCTGAAACTTCCACTGGAGCGGGAGCTGCCAAGACCTCAATGGCCTGAGCTCAAAAAGCAAGGTACCAGGGGTCTGTTCGCAAAAGCCAACGCCTGCTCCGGCTGGGCTCGGCCCATCTCTTGGATGGTCTGGTCTGCACACTCCGCAAATTCTGCTTGACCTTGAAGTGTCCCGTCGGCTGGCTCTGCGGTCACTGGCTCTGCGGCCACTGGCTCTGCGGCCACTGGCTCTGTGGCCACTGGCTCTGCGGCTGGCTCTGAGCTCTGAGGCCGGGCTTTGTCCTCGCGGGCAAGCGGTTCGGAATGTCAAAGTGTCCGGCCGCGCCGCCACGCCTTCCGCCACACCAGCCAGGGCGGCACCTTCACGTCGCCCGACTTCGGCTTCAGCTGCGGCTTCAGCTCCGGCTTTGGCTCGGGGGCTGTCGGCGTTGTCTGCTCCACACGACGCAGCTCCTCCTGGCTCATTCCCCAGGAGTTGGGAAGGCTGGGAAGGCGTAAGCCGGAAATCGGGACGCTTCTTGGGTTGAGCACACTCAGCTTCTGATTGCGCAACATTGCGGCCGCTTTCTCAGCACCCAACGCATGTTTGTGAGTACTTGAAACACCCAACCCGTCTTTCGCGTCCTGGATGGTCTTCAAGGTGTGGGCGTTGAAGTTCTGCTTCCAGAGGCACCCAGCGTGGCATAGGAAGAGCTCGCTGGTGTTCCAATTGCCTCGGCCAGCTTGGAAGCCCACAAGTTCCTGATTGAGCTGGCTCAGGGACGAGCATGTGATAAGCCGATAGATGAGCAACTCGTCGTGCGTCACAGCCACGACTCCACCTCCGAAAACCCCCTAAACAAAAGCACGAGAAGGAAACTGCAAGCACAATCAGAATGCGTTTCTTTCCCCGGGCCTTGAAAGCGGCCAAGTGCTTCTGCTAGAGCCCTGCAGCCCTCCGCGTCCAGGTGGTTCGTCGGCCTTGCGGCTTTGGAGCTTCAGGCCACAGAACAATCTGAACTCAGCTAAGACACTCGTCCAGCAGCAGGATGTGCACTGGTCGAAGTGAAAGCACCGCAAACCTCACGCTGGAATCGACCCAATCCTCGAATCAATCTACAGCCCCGAAAATGAAGCCAAGAGGCTTCAAGCACGCCTTCTGGCCTCCACTCAATCGTTCCACCGGCACATTGGCCAACTCCCCCTCAAAGCCGAAATTGCTCAGGACCTCAGCATGCTTTGCTCTTTGGGAAAACGGCCAAAACGGCTCGACATCCTTGAAATCCTTTGAAAGTGCATAAACCATGGATCATCACTCACCGATCCATTCCGCTCATCACTTAGGCTCCTGACCCCCCGTGCCACTTCCAGCAGTCGGTTGGCCTGCGAGCGCCGCAAGCGCCACGAGTGCCACTCCCGGTGTGGGGCCGCGGCTGCGGCGCTGGCTTGCTTGGGCTCCTTGGCCGTCTTGGCCGTCTTCCGTTGGCGCCCGCTGTGGCGGGAGCCCACGTGCGACCGGAGCTCCTAAGCAGAGCCGGATCACAGGTCCCACGGGTCCCAGCGGCCTCGCTGCACTGTTGCAGCAGATACTCCGCGGCACTGATGCTAAGGTTGTCCAGCTCCTCGGGCGAGTGGCAGGGGATGGTGCACTCGCTTGCACCCCGCTCCTCAGTAAGTTGGGAGTAATAGCCCACCTTCAAGCCCGGGGTAGAGTCCACCGAGCCCTTGCCTTGCCATCGAGCCACGGAATCCAGGAAGCCCCGACGCGTGACAATTTGCCTTTGGCATTTCAGTCATCCACTATGAACCTTCAGAGTTGTCAATCCTCCGAAGCCTCAAGTTGTTTCGGGGCCATGTTCTCCATGAAACTCGTGACCCAATTTGCCAATGCATTGACTTCGGATCGGGGCGCTAGGGTGCAGGATCCCTGACAGGAGCTCCAGGAAGGTCGTCTTGCCGCCCCCGTTGCGGCCCAGCACCACCGCTCGGCTCCGGCCGCTCAGGCGCACCCCCGAGGCCCGGAAGGCTGCGGAGCCTTTCGAAAACTCCAACTTGATCGACGTCCGGCTGAAAATGCGGGAAACCCCGGAGGAAAAACAACAACCAGGCGAAGCGGAAATGGCAAACCCCGAAGCAAGCGACTGTCAAGAATCCAACTGGGAGGCAGACCATAGGAGAACTCCACACCATGCATGGAGATGCCGTGCAGCAGCGGGTCCTTCCAGAAACCGGACAAAATGGCCCTCCGACCTCGCTGTCCCCAGACCTCGCTGGCCGGGAAGTCAAATCTCAGGGGCTTCCGGCGCTGCATCCGCAGCAGCTCCTCCGGCGACACGTTGGGCAGCGTTTCCAGCCTGGGGCCGGCTTGCGATGTCAACGCTCTACGTGCGAGCCCAACGCCTCTGCTCGGTCATCCACAGGATCTCCTGCGCTAGAGCAAATAAGTGCGCGGGCCACCGATCAACAGGCCAGTAGGCCCCTCCTTGCAAAGCTCGTGCAGGAAGGTCGCGTCGTGCGACACTACCTGAACGCAATGCGAACCTGTGCAAAGGCCTTGAGCGACCTCAGACCCGCGCCACCACGGAGTGGGGATATGCCAGGAGCTGCTGCGTCAGCCACTCGCTCGCTTGGAAATCCAAATGATTCGTGGGCTCGTCCAGCAGCAGAAGCTTCGGTCTCAGCCAAAGCGCCTTGGCCAGCTCCACCTTCCAAGCGACCAGCGAGCACTCCGCTCACGCGAGCTGCATTTCCCTCCGACCACTCCAGCCTTCATGCGCCAGCCGCCAGACAACTTTGACATTGAATCTGAGACAGACGCGAACCCCAGGTGCTTCAGGATGTCAATGACATCTCTTTCTGCATGCTGAAATTCCTCCAGGCAGGCATGAACCTGGCCCAAAGCACAAATAAAGCGTTCGCCTACATTCTCCCTCTCTTGTTTGTCAAACCCAGAGCACTCTTGCAGGGGATGCAAGGATCTTGATGCATTCGCCAGCACCCCCCAGTCTTGGGCATCTCCCTTCAACACTTCACAAACAATGGGTGCGCCCCAGTGTGAATCATGTGCAGGCGCCTGATTGGGGAAACGAAAAGAGTACCAATATTTTGGACTTGCTGCTGAGTGGTCTCTGATTCCGGAAACTCCATACTAACCCAGTCTTGTTCGCTCAACCCCACTTTGGCAAATCTTGATATGATTGTTTCTTGATCTTCGGAACCAGATTCTTGCTAAAGTAGCTACGCCCCAGCTTCACATGGAATCCGGGATACGATTCGTTCTGGGGGTTAAAAATCATGGCAGCGAGCCATGAGAAAGCATTCGGCACTGGCGACAGCGCGTGGGCAACTCATCAACGCCAGGCACGCAAAGACAGGCCGTGGTCGAAACTTCTTGTACGGGTTTTGGTCATGATTCCCCATCTAGGGAATGTTCCTTACGAGGTAAAGCGGGAATCCTTCCTCCGATGACAATTCCCATTGCCCATGCTTTGGGTTCAAGCCAGACGAGACCCGCCTCCTGCAGCTCCGCATCCGAAGACTCCGAAGGCTCCTCGAGCGGCTCCTCGAGCGCTGCGGCACGGTGCAGCAGCGCGGCGCGGCGCGGGTGGCTGCGCAGCACCTCGCGAGCCAATCACCGCGGCGGCTGCTTTCCTTTTGACCTTTTGCTGCTTTGCCCCCTTTGGCCTTCTTGAGCATTCATGGGATTGGCGGCACGGAAAGCAGGAAAGCGAGGAAGGGCGCCTCCTCCAGAACGGAGTGCTCCCCAGCTGTCGGCAGCTGCTGGTTCACCAAGAACACGTCCCAAGTCTCCGGCACTGGCAGCTGCCTTTGTGCCAGGAGCTTCAGCAAGGTGCTCTTGCCGCAGCCGTTGGGACCCACCAGCCCGTAGATCCGCGACGCACCCTGGGGCTCCGCTATCTTCAGCTCGGTGTTCCTCAGGCAGTCTGAATGTTCTGGAGCATCCTGTTGCCATGCTCATCAGAGGGAGAGCTAAACAAGGCCTTTCACTTGCGCCAAGTAGCGATAGCAGGCACCGGGCCCCCAGAAACACCGACAGCTTCTCTGCCTTGACTGCGTTGGGCGGTGCTCGAGCAGTCTCTGTTAGCACACGAGCGTCAGCGCCAGCGTCTGTGGGGCCCGGTTCCATGGTTCGGCAAGGACAACTACTCAACAAGAAACTAGGTGAGAGTTTGGGCAACACAAGTGACTTGCCTTGTGACTGAGCCTCTAAGCAGGCTTGAGCCCTCACAACGCTCACAAACCCTGCAAGGGAAAGACGCGCCTGCCTTAGCATGACAAACCTGCCCTCACCGCAATGGCTTCATCAAGTCGCTTCCTGGCCTCGACTGCCTTCGGCCTCTTGAGCCTCTCCTGAGACCGCTTTGCATCAGACTTTGCAAAAGCTCTCAGCTTCTTTCATAACTCACAACCTTCTTTCATTTCTCGACCTCACAACTTCACCACTGCGGTTAGCGTCGTCAGGTGTTGAAACGTGCTTCTGACTGCGGTTTCTGCGTCAATCGCCTCCAGGCTGCGCTTCACGCGCCCGCGCTCGGACAGCGTCAGTGGGCGCTTGCGTCGCCTGAATCCCGTGACAGGACAGAAACGCGCCAAGGCTCGCAGCACCTTTTTGCAGATTGGCTGAGCCTTTTCGCAGGGTCCCAACCCTTCCCTCATTTTCGCCCTGGAAACCCCGCGTTTCAACATCCATTGTGTATGGGAACCAATGAGAAATACACGCCTGGCTGACATGGGAGGGGGGGCCCTTTACAGAGCACTCCTAATCATTGTACTCAACTCAACAACCAACGCCGACTCCTGCCATGGTAGAGGAGCTCAGCCGACAGCAGCTGCCAAAACTCATCAAAAGAACGCGTCGGCCTCCATTGCTAGCAAGACCTGAACCTAAAACCCGTTTGGCAAGTTCGAGCAGATCTGGCGCACACATCAGTAGCAACAATTCTGGACATGTTACAAGCTTTACAACTGAAGCTCTGCCCAAGCAAACACCCCTCAACTGTTATTTAACTCAAAAAACGTCTACTGCAGCATTCAGGGATGCAGGTTCCCCCCTATCCAACCAACAGTTCAGTTGGGCCTGCGTGGAATATCAGTCCGACAGTCGAGTCACAAATACCGCCGGCGCGAGACCGCAAGGTCATGCATGGCTGGCGCATGACGAAGCCTGATTTGTTCCCCGATGTTCAGGCACATCTTTGTGAAACAACGTGACTCTGGTGAAACGTTCTGTGAACAATGGAAATACAATACGAAGTGAGACACGAAACTATTATCGAGCAAATAAATTCACCACTCTGCCACCTGCGCGTCATAGCCCTCCAGCCACCTGGCCCGCATCACGCAAAGCCTGTAGCAAAAAGCTCGCGCTTGCCTTCGTGGAGCGTTGTCATCGCAGCAGCTGTAGCCTGTCCAGACCTGGACAGGAAAAGGTGCACGAATCAAATGGGCTTGTCTCTAAACAGGAAACCCCCGACAAAATAAGGCATGGCTTTGGTATCCCTTCAAAGCCACCCAAAGAAAGGGGTCAAAACAGGGGACACCCATGTCATGCAAGGAAGGCCTCCTCGGTTGCATCAGCTTTGTGAAGCTCCAGCAAGCCTGCATGCAACGAAACGCCGCAGCATCCACCAAACCCAAGAATAGAGCCTAGAGGTGTCGCTTCTTGCGGCGACTCCGCTTCAGATCTATCCGACTTCACCTTGGCTTTCAGCCAAGCAGCAAAGCTGAAACTCTCCTCTCTTGGGTCAAGCACTTGACTCGAGCTGTGGGTCAGACGACTTCCATTCGTGGCAGCGGATTCCTGCTTTTGTCGCCTGAGAACAGCGGGGCTCCGAGCCCAGTATCAAACGCAAGCGTACAACGCGCATAGCATAGCTGTGCTAAGCACTTGGCCAGGTGGATCTGGCGGCAAGTATCTGCTGCGCGCTTGGCAATGAAAGATTACCTGAGCGGTGTTGCTGGAGGCAGTGCGAAGAAGACTTGCCTCGCCAGGTGCGAGCAAAGGGGCATTGCGCAGGAATAGGTCCAGGCGAGTTGTCAAGGAAACGCTGCGGCAGAACCTGGAAAACCGCATGCCGCGGGAAAGTTTCTCCAAGCTCTTCCGAGACTTGAGCTTGTAGTCCCGGCGTGTAGTGAGCTCGGCCATGAGGAACTCGGCGCACACATTGCATCGATGCTAAAGACGGACAACTGAGCCGCGAGCCAAGAAGCGCATGAATTCGGCCTTGGCGATGAGCAAGTCCCGGCGCATGCATATTCATTGTGCATACATCAACAATCATACACATGCTGCGTTGTACTTTCGATTCAGAATGCACCGAATCGTCTACCAAGGCACAAATACCACTTCGGACTCCACAAACCTCAGAAATGTCTGCGACAGGCACCCGCTAATGCTAATGGCATCCTGGATCAAATTGCACACCAAGTCGAGATGCTCAAGGATCGAGACGTGCTCATCGAATGCCGTCACCTGCCACAGCACATGAGCGATCTTAATGCTGGGCTGTCTCACTGGGGCGGCCTCCTGCTTCTCCTCATCTTTCCTTGAGACATCTTGTTTTCCACTGCCCACAGCTCACCACAACGCAAACTAGACTGCACGCTGCATGCAAAGAATGACTAAGCCCTCGGCTCAGACTGCCACCGCAGCAAGTCTAAAGATGCAGGTGACAGCACCTACATCAGGCAAGAGGCTCATCTACGAAAACCAATTGCAAGACAGACTGGTTGACCAAGGTCAGACTTGCAAGGGTTGTTTGTGCCAATGATGCTCAAAAAGAAAGGCATGCCAGCCTGTGCTAAGATTCGAATCACATCGATGGCATCGATTGTGAGGTTGATGGTAGCCAGGTCTTCGGCCTTGGCTGGTACGATATATCTTGGTGCTATCGATGTGCACCAAAGGCTGTGGCAGGCGTGCGAACTTCCTTCTCCTCTTTCTTGTCTTTCTTGTCCTAGAGCCAGACTGAGAAATCCCCAAAACCCCAAGGCCGGATGGCTATCGATTGCAAGTGGTCGGCGGGTTGTTTCTCAACCAAACCGACGCGCACTCAATCCGGAGGCAGGGGGAACATTCATTTGGAGGGATACATCGGCAAAGCACACTCCTTTCTCGAACATTTCAACTGCCAAAGTCTGTGTTTGACAAGCATTTGACCTTTCTGCAGTCTTGCCTTCTGAGGAATTGTCAATGGAGGTTGCAGAGCCTTGGAAGCGTCCCTGGAGATTTGTTCAAAGTTTTGAATGATTGCGCGTCCGCGCACTTAGCAAGGTTACCTGTTTTTGTCTCTCCGCGCGTACTACAATGAGTAGCGCGCAAACACGAGAGGCCTTGAGCGGCAGGCAGATACATGCTGAAGAAGCAATGAGCTTACCAATGACCGCCAAGTTGCCACCAATGTGTGACGGACGTGTCAGCTTGTCTTTACGGACTCACACTACTTTGCTGCCTGCGCTTACGGCGCAATCCCTCCGGTTTCTCCCACCAGTACAAGCACAGGCTCAGCCATCCGCTGGACCTGGAGCACAGCCCAGACCTTGTCCGCATCACCAGGGAAAACAGGTGGCGACACGCAGAGACCAACAACGTGAAAAACGGTCAGTCTACGGGCACAAGACGATGGAGACACAATATCACGAGTTCTTCAGAGTACCAGGGCAGCCCCGTGCCACTCAGCAGGCCGCTGAACTCTCAACCCTGCCTTCACACACCGGAAGGTCAGACGACACATGGAGATTGAATGCCATCAAGAAGAAATTGACCACGAATCCACCCACGCGCAAAAGACCTCATTTCCATTTCCATGAGCGCGCGCCAGCAAGCAGAAACCAAATCTACATCTGCCCGCGGAGAGTCAGCGAAGGTCAACTCGCTCATGCGCCGCGCGACTCCCCCGGCCAGAGCCAACATCGACATCCTAAGGCGATGTTCCAAAACTCCCCCATGTTGGACAACGCGGACTTTGTTTCGACAATCGAACAGACGCCTCCGTGCGACAAGATTAAATGTGCTCTGCGCAACCTTCAGCGACCAAGAATGTACGCATATCAAGGCCGACTTCCACTTCAAGATAGCTCTGAAGATTACTGCATCCGAAAGGCAGACCAGAAGAGAAGAAGGCACCTACCCTGGCAGGACGGTGTACCCATTTGGCCCGCTATACCCTGATCGGAAGCTTATGGCCAGCCCGCTCTCGCCCCGCATCCGGCTGCGCTGTGTCTTTGAGGAGTTGTTGTTAACCTTGGCCTGCTCCAACTCCAACCGCACGCACTCACAGAGCTGACCAATGCTTTCTGGGGCGGGGACTGTCTCGAGTTGCTTTTAGACTGGAGCCAATCGAAATGCACTACAGAACATCGCAGAGCAAGCGCGCTGCGTGCGTTGAAAGGCTCCGCCTGTCCAGGCCAACTGTCCCTGACTTCCCCGGACGAGCACCATGAACGACGCGACAACGCACCAAAAAGGGCTGACAGCGCTGCAAAGATGGTCAATTGCGCGTTCGCCAGCCATCATCACATCAGTAGGAACACCACACGTGGCAGGGCGAGGTTGTCTGCCTGTCGACGGCAGCCCAGTTGCTGACGTTGAACGAGGACCCGATCTCTGACGCAGCGGCTTCCTTTTTCATCTTCCCAGAGGGTTGATGCCAAACGTGCTGAGACCTGCGCTTTGGTCAGAGTCAGCGCTACACGGTCTCGTACCTTGAGACTGCGCTACACGGTCTCGTACCTTGAGACTCTTTGGCGTTGCCTTCGTCGAGATCTCTGGGATTCGGCGTCGCTTGATGATGTCGGCACATGGCGAACGAGCTCTTCCTGGTCCTGCTAGGGGTTGTCCGCCCGGATTGTTTGGATTGACTCTTGGATCTCTTTGTCAACCATGATCAGGTGGGTCATCGAACTTCCTCTTCGACGGTCGCGAAACTGACTGGTTGGCTGCACACCTGCGCGGGCGGTCGTGACGCTGGTCGTACGTAAGGCATGGCTGGTCCGGACTTGGTGGATTGGGATTTATTATTATTTGATCGCGTCGTGTCCAGCGTTGGGGTGAACTGGGATGATCTTCTATGTGATGGCTGACTTGTCATCAATGAAAGCAGGCCTAAACCCACTCAAGAACAGGCATCGTCAGCCCTTACCCAAGCTGTGGATCCTCAAAAAATTCTCGGCGCTCCGCCTGGTGGCGTGGGCCTCCATGAAGACTTCTCCATCTGATGACATCTTCCTATGTCTGAAAAACTGCCCCGCTGAGATAGCAGCGGCGAGTACAGGGGGATACTAACCCTGAAGCAATTCACTCACTATGGCCCTGGATCCACCCTCAGAACAAATAAGGATGTATCACATGGCGTTGAAGACCTTTAGGATGTGTCCGGATTATGTGACGCCTGTGATGTGAGGATATATATGGTACAGCGTTGCCAGCACCCCCCCCCACCAATGGTCATGGGTCAGACAAGTACCCCCCCCCCTGTGGTTGTGGTCCTGTGGTTGGGTTGTGGTGGTTTAGGGTTGGTTTAGAATTGGGTTGGTTTACGGTTGGTTTATGTTGATTTAGGGTTGGTTTAGGGTTGGTTTATGTTGATTTAGAGTTGGTTTAGGTTTAGAGGTCTACGTGGTTTAGGGGGTATTTAGGGTTCGTTTAGGGTTAGTTGGTTGGTTGCGGGTTGGCTTGTCCTGGGGGTGGGGGTGCCGGGATGTCGGGGTGCGAGTTCAGGGGGTCGGGGTGGGGGGGACCGTGGGTGGGCTCGGGGTCTCGGGTGGGGGGGGGGGGGTCCTGGGGGACCCATACCATATGGGGGGGGGGGGGGGGGGGGTAGCATATATATATATATATATATGGTCACCCCCCCCCCAGGGCCCACCTTTAACATAAACAACTAACATTTCATGTTTGCAAATCTTTGTTACAAATGTTGGGCCTCAAGAAAACACTGTAAAAACCAGTGTTTTTTGAAGGTTTTTGTTTCACAGATGCGTTGTGCCTTCAAGAGATGCATCCTTGCAGAGATCAAACTCGAAACCGGAATCCGGTTTCGATTTTGATGTTTATTACTTTGGAAAGTGTGCACCTGCCAGTGTTTTGTAGACATTGGAGTGAAAAACACTGGGAAACCTTCCATTTTACAGGGGTTTGTTTACCCCTGTGCTCCAAAACCTGCACAGGAACCAAAAAAATGAAAGTGGAAGTGCCAAAACCTGCACAGGAACAAAACAAAAAATGAAAATCTCAGAGAGAACTTTCCATCTGACCTGGAGATCTCCCTCAGGATTTTAATTTTTTTGTTTTTTTGTTCCTGTGCAGGTTTTGGCACTTCCACTTTCATTTTTTTGTTCCTGTGCAGGTTTTGGAGCTTCAAGATGCTGAAACATGCACAGGAACAAAAAATGGAAGTGGAAGTCCCAAAACCTGCACAGGAACAAAAAATGGAAATCCTGAGGGAGATCTCCAGGCAGATGGAAAGTTCTCTCTGAGATTTTCATTTTGTTGTTTTTTGTTCCTGTGCAGGTTTTGGCACTTCCACTTTCATTTTTTTGTTCCTGTGCAGGTTTTTGAGCTTCAAGATGCAAAGGGCTCACACGGTTCGTTTTTTTGGCGCTGGCAGCCATGGAAAACAGTCAAAACTAGCTCATTCCAAGAGCGCAGATGGCTCAGAAGCATTTTCTCTGACTGGCGTTGCAAGTCTTGCAACATCTTGCCAGTGGCTGCCCACATGTTGACACCCTTGTGCCAGTAGCATCACTGGGCGGAGCGGATGCGGCGTGTCAGGGCGGTGTTGCCCGGAGTGCGGTTGAAGTGCTTGATGTGGTTCCTCAGGAAGCCCCAAAAGCGGTCAATGATCTGAGTGCCCGCTTGGACCTTCAAGCGCTTGTTCTCAGGAAGCTTGAGGTCACAAACTTTGGTGTAATGAGGTTTCACCCACACAGGCTTCCCATTGACCATGACCTTCTTTTTCTGGTGAACTACATTGCAGTGCACCACCTGGGAGAGCTTCACCTTATAGGATCTTGCACCATCTGTGTGCAGGATGACACGCTTGCCTTCCAAGTGCTTTTGGCCAATGGGAAGCCAATCTCTCTTGCGAATGGGCCCTGGCCCCGGTGCCCTCCTTTTGGTTGCAGCAGGCTTGAGCTTGAACAGACGAAGTGACTGCGGCCGACCTCGCTCCACCATGCCCCCCCACTGCTCCCACTCGATCACGTGCCCTGCCTTAGCGGGATGTTCGATCTCCCCCTTGCCGATGTCCACCTCGTCCATCTCGATGTCCTTCCACTTTTCCTGGCCACCGTACAAGATGTTCTTCTCCTTGTAAGTGACGTGGCGGGCCCTGGCGACATCGTTGTTGGTGTAGATGCGCTCCACAGCTTTGTGGTCTACGTCCAAGACAAGATGAGCAGCATTGCGAGGAACACCGGTGGTCGCACAGAAAAGGATTGCAGCTTGCGTGCCGAGTGAAGTGGTAGAAGAACCTGAGCCCGGGAAGAAGATAGGATGGTAGTCCTCAACCCTGACTCTTGCGTGACACTTCTTGGCGCTGCAGCGATGAATCCCTGGTCCCTGTCCTTGCGATACTCCAAGCGCCCCAAGTGACCATGGGCACACTTTGGACAGCGTTTGCCGTGCCATTCTGGTAGGATCCCATCCTTCTTCAAGAGCTGGATCAAGCGGCGACCCTTGTTCTTCAAGAAGTCAAGCACTGAGCGGCCCCACCTTTCTCTGTGAGGTCTAGACTTTTGAGTGGCTTTACCATGCCGTACATACAAGGTCTTGCTCTGGGACGCCTTCTTGCCACAAGGTCGCTTGAGAGCCCTTTCTTTGCCTCGTTTCGGAGCCGGCCACACATGCCTTTTCTTGACCGTGTGCTTCATCACCTTCTTGGGCATGACTGCTACGCTGCTACACTTGAGAAGTTCTACAGGGCCAATCTACACATCCAAAAAAATAAAGCTTGAGCAGGCTGGACAGGAGGTGGCAAACAAGAAGGTCATAGCACGCAAGGATAGAACAGGAACTGTTTTGCATTGTGCTGTGTGCGCATACCACTTTTTCCACCACAACACCTTTCATGATACAAAACTGACTGGTGCATGAGTATAGAGACAGAACAACGGGCTCTACTCAGGCCTCTGGCTCATCCAAGCCCTGGCCGTGATCAAAGACATCTTCATCGGAGACAACGTCCATCTCAGGGTTGGCATCCGTGCCTTCGGGAATCAAGTTCGATGCAAGGCTTGGGGGTGCAGAAGGAGCAGGTGCACCGTCCTCGTCATCAGACACAAGGTCAACAACGCCATAGTTCACGGGCTTCTTCTCTGCCGGCGCCATGAGCTCGGTTTTGACCTTCTTAGCCGGGGGGGAGTCCAAGTCAACACAGGCGAAGTTCTGCACATTCAACTTCTGCGTGAACACACTAGGCTCTGTCTTCACATTCACGGGACCAGCAGATGCAGCAGGGGCAGGATCAACAGGGACAGCCAAGGCAGGTTGTACACGAGCAGGAGCAGGCTGAGCGGGTGCAGGGGAATGGGGAGGACGAGATACTGAGACTCGAAGAACAACATCGAGTCCATCCGATCCAAACAAGCTCCTCAAAGCTCTCATGTTGACCTCTTCCGGCATGGGGGGCATGTTGCGACCGTGGTTGTCCATCACGCTGTTCATCCACGCTTCTTCCCACTGGAGATGTGTCTGACGATCCTTGGTTGGCTTTCGGTTGCCCATGCGGTACTGGATGTAGGCTTGCCCGCCGGACTTGCGAAGCAGGGACATGTCGTCGTTCATGAGCATGCGGGGGACGCTTACCTCCTTCTCAGTTGGCACGCGCCAGTAGATGTACTTCTCAGTGACCAGCAAGATGCAAGTGCGTTTGAAGACTGCCTTGATATCAGACACGCTCGAACCCCTCATCCAAGCGGGCTCAACCATCTTGAAGAAGTCTTCATGTGGAATGGACAACCCCTGGAGATCGGTGGGCTCTGCAGACAAGTCGATGTCATTGGACATGTACAACCTGAGTTGGCCCTGGGGGAATTTGGCGGCCCCCCAGCGTTCCTTGGTCAGGACGCTATTCCCAACATCACAGAAGCCCTTGAGCTTCCTCGTTGGCTGTTCTGCGAGAGACCCATCATCGAAAATGTCCGGGCGATCTTGCCGTCCTGACTCACCCCGGAAATAGTCGAATTCACAGGCCTCCCGAAACCCTGGAGTGCTGTTGGTGTTGAGTTTCCGAATCCAGTACCTGGACACTGCCATGGCAATGGTGCGCCCCAACGGTGTCTTTCCAACGTTGGGAACTCCATGCATGCCCAAGGCCTTGTCCTTGAAGAATGGGAAGAGCTTCTCAAGAACTGTGAGGACTGAGGGATCCACATCAACCAAGGTCAGCGGGAAATCATGTACTGGAAGAGCAAGAACACCATCATTCATGAGGTTGCGCAGGGCTTCCTTGATCAATCTTTCAGGCCAAGTATGGATGGGGCTTTCGCTGTTGATGAATTGCTTGGAGATCCATCGCAGCTGGGTGTTGCTGTGATGGGAGCGAGGCCCATGTTTTCCAACGAAGTCAAAGCCTTGATCGATGTCCTGCTCGGTGAGGTTCTGAAAGAAGTTACCACCCTTGTCCACTGCCTGGCTGCCACTTGCAGCCTGCAGTGAAAAACTTTGCACCTGGTACCCCCCCATCTTTTCGAACAAGTAGTGCAACGCCTTTTTCACGTTCTTGGCGTTGCCTCCCCATGAAACCATGTGGGCATCTCCATGACAAAGGTCACGAGCGAAGCCAGCCTTGACATTCTCAGGAAGGACAATGTGCTTTAACAGGAAGTGTTGCCCATCTTGGACTTGAAGAACAGCCAGTTGCAATTGGAATGACATGCCGGGAGAGTTCTTCAGGCGAAAGGGTTCAGGAAGATCATGAAACCGCCCTTCTTTGCATGCACTCGTGACCTCTGTCTCCAAAGCATTGTTGAAGTTGATCATTCCCACAAGATCGAAGATATGCTTGACCCTTGTGTCTTGAGGGAGAGGATCTAGTGGAAGATCAGATGGTGACACAGGACCTCGAGGAAGATGCACTATATTGGGCTTTGCAAGGACCCGCAGCTGGAGAGAGTTCGTTGCATTCAAGGCTTCCTCGAGGCCAATTTCACTCCCTTCAGCAATCATCTCAGCTACAGGAGCAAATAGATGCCTTGAGTTATGGATGCTGCAGATCAAGATGACAAGTGGTTGTATGATGGTTCATACTCATATAAGCATATGCTCACCCCGATCTCCAAATTTATCATGATTTGTATGATTTTCCCTCAAAAGGTGGGCCCTGGGGGGGGGGGGGGTGAGCATATATATATATATATGTATATATATTTGATCCTGTAAGCACAAGCAGCATTGGCTCTTTTGTACACGCTGCGTGTGTGTGTGTGTGTGTGTGTGTCTGTGCGCAATAAGGCCTTGAGCCCTAATCTGGAAGACATATACACGGTTGCAAGAAGATCAATTTCAAGCAAACGGAGAACACACACAAACACACAGACACACGGGGAATTCTTGAATATTTTTGGAATATCCCCTCCCCCCCCCCCCCCGCTTTTGAATATCCCCCCATTTAAATATTGAATATGTCCACTGGTATTGAATAATTGAATAACAACTCGGCCTGCCCATCCCCCTAACGCCCAGCGGGTGTGCGGTATGGGCTGTTTAAGCAGTACAGCTGAACAGCACTACATGTTGCACGCAGCTGAGCCTTGTCGGACTTTCTTTTTCTGCTCTCCTCCTTTGGGTTGGTATCCGTCCCTCCACCTGCCAAAAGAATATCTGGGTCGGGACAACATCAGTTGTTTCACTGAACATGGCAAAGTTGGGTAGGGGGGCTGGCTGAAGTGGCCAGTTGTCCCGGCCCTTTTCAAAGGAGCCATGCATCTATGCAGCTCATTCGAGTCACCTAGGAGAGAGCCCTTGGGCATGAAGCTGATGGAGAGTCCGGGCAACTGCTTGGGCCGATCCTGGACACGGGCTGCTCAGGAACCGCAGGGCAAGCTCTCCCACAAGGCCTCCTCCTCCTCAGGGGCAGAATTGCCACCAGAGCCTTCGTCATCCTGGCACCGGCCGTCATTCTCAGCCGTCCACAAGGGTCATGGTGAATGGCCACTGATTCAATCAGAGCTGCGTGAAGCATTACAACTTGGGCAAGGTAGTGGCTCTTTCAGGGTGGTGTGACCTCATGGAGAGAAAAAGCGAGCTTTCGGAACACTGCTTGTTGAAGATATTCCCCACCCTACTACCTGCCTCGCTTTGGTTTTCTTCTTCCACGGGCTCCTGCGAAAGTCCACTTCCGATTGGACCTTCAGGCGCGTGCAGCATCAACAGCATGAAACCGAAGCATTTTGGGCGGCCATCTGCTTGGTAAGGCAAGATCCTAACAAGTTGTTGACGGAGTCCCCCTCAGATCCAGAGAGTACCTGTTTTGCAACGACAGAACTCCAAATTCCAATCGAGGCATCTCGCCTCCAAGAGCGGTCTGTTCTGCTCCTTGAGAAGCCTTGCAGGAGGTCAGGAGTTGCAGTCCAAGTCTCCCCGACTCGACTCAGACAAAGATCTTCTCGGCTGCGCACTGCGTGTTCCGCAGAAACCCAAGGGAGTCCAGGAAGCGAAGCACATCCTAAGGACGGAGTGACCGGCGACCCGGGCTACCCGACGCGTCCCCGACGCGCGTCGACGCGTGCCCCAGCCTTGATGCGGACTCCAACGTTGAGCCGTGCCAAGACCTGCGAAGCTTCAACTAGACGCAGGAAAGTGGGACTTGGTGCCGCAGGGTCGCGTGCAGCTGTCGTGATGGTGCTGCCCAGCCGTTGGCCTGCGTCAGACTGCAGACTTGAGCTTAGAGCTTAGAGCTTAGAGCTTGGAGCTTGGAGCTTGGAGCAACATGTGCATGTGTGCTTGGAACATAAATGAGGCCGCATCAAAAAAGACAAAGACGGCGCAAGCACGCCCAATCCGCGCAAATGGACTCGGCCTTGAAATGATCCGCACCTGCCGGCTTGCATGCAAACAAATGCGCCAAAAGCGTGTGGTTTCCGGCCTGACGCAGAGGTCCTCACAAACAAACAGCACTGACCACAGGTTGCAGGCCCTTGCGATGTCTTCTTTTAAGTTAGGACGATCCGAACAGAAAAGTGGCCTGGAGTGGCTCGGTGGGCTCACAGCACTTGCCTGGAGAGCCCAAACCGAGAAAGCACAGCTAATGGATGCCCTGCATTGGTAGCGGGACAATCTCTATCGCAACTGTCGCAGGGATTATCCCTCAGGAAGCACCATATCAGGGTTTCCAATCTGTTCAATTTCAAACCTCTCATTTTTCCTTGTGCGTCCATCCACCCGTGCCTCGTTCGAGGGGTTGGCTCCCAGCCCGCAAGACCCCGCAAAAATGCCGCCGCCGGGAATAGCGTCTGCGGCCTGGGAATGCCAATGCACCGCCAACGGCGTGAACCATGGTAGATACACTGGTACATGTTTGCAACGTTTATCTGGGGCCTTTTTTGAGCGTACCACTTTCGGTTTGTTCGAATCATTGAAGCATTTGGGGCTACGAGACAAAAAGTGTGGCACCTCTTCTGCCAGCGGGTCTCCAGAGAGCTCCACAAAGGTTTTCCAGATCGCAGGCTCCAACTGGCGCAGCTCCACACTTGCCCCACACCAACACTCCCAGCCACGCCGCCTCCTGCACCACTTCTCGGACCTCGGGCTGGGTGAAGAGCCCAAAGACGGAGGTTGTGGGCCGCCGGAAGTTGGCCAACATGCTGATGAGTCCTGTGCGGACACATTTGAGTTGCACACCAAACAAGTGTTCACAGCTCCTCCCCCTTCCGTTTTCTGCGACGGCACGTTCTTAATGCAGGGCATTACCTCGAAAGTTCGGGAGGTCACATCGTGTGGTATGTAACAAAGTACATATCACCGGCACAAAGAGCACATGGCCTGCTCTTTGAAGAGACGATTGACCTACAAAGCAAACAGCTTCAAACACTAAGATACTCAGAGCTCGCGGCAAATCGGCCTGTTGTTCAAGGCCAGGTTCATTGGGGAAGCGCACCGGCGCCACTCGAATGAAGCCTAAGGCAGCCCTCTTGCAAGCCAGCTGCCAGCAAGTCTTTCTTCAAGCCAAGCAGCTCTCCAGGAAGTGTCGAAACCTTGACCGTCCAAGAATCTTCAGCGAACTGTCCCAACAGTAAGATCACCGCAGCAGTGGTCGGGCAGCGGAATGGATATGCACCAAGTTCCCATCTGAGCAGGGCCATTTGTGTGTGCTCTTGCAAGTCAGTGCCGAACCTACACGCGTTAGGCGCAAGTACTTTCTGCCCAGCGCGCTGGCTCCTACCGCGTCTGCAAATCTCAAAGTCTCAAAACTGAGCCGCAACGACTTGGCCCTCCTGGGGAATCGAAATCTTCGCAAAGCGCCTGAGAGAGAGAGAGAGGCAGAGACAAAGGCAGAGGCAGAGACAGACACAAAAAGAGAGAGAGAGAAGAAAAAAGGGGGAGAGACAAAGCGGAGAAAGCGAGCGAGAGAGAGAGAGAGAATGAGAGAGAGGAGAGAGAGAGAGAGAGAGAATGAGAGAGAGAGAGAGAAGAAGCTACAGCCACATTCAAGAGAAGACCAATGCTCCGAACCTCCACTTCCTCATCAAGGGTATCATCGTCTGCCTCTTCAGCAAAAGCAACAAAATACCTTCCAGAAGGATTGCTCAGCGCCTCTGCAGACTCTTCAGCCTGCACGGACTCTGACTTGCTCGTGCTGGATGGCACCCTGTCAAGTTGATCAAGTGACATGTTTGTCTGCATGATGAGACTTCACTATTGGTGAACGTGCCTCACGGATTCTTTGGATTCTTTGGATGCAAACCGAGGTGTCATTGCACGGATCTCCTGCTGCCATGCGGCAAAATTCGCAGAACGAACTGCTGGACTGCTTGACGTGCATCCAAACAAGCAAAAGCAAACCTCCGATGCTGCAAAGTCAACTGACTATGGAAGAGTGACTTGTCGCCTGCTCATCTTCAGGTGCCACCTCGCTTTGATGCCTGCAAGCACTCAATCTGGGCAATTGGCTTGCATGCGCGCAACTGCCTAGGGCCAGAAAAGACAGCTCGATCGAAACGGGAAATAGTGCTGTTGGGCCTTGGCAACAGGATTCCCATCAACCGGATTAAGACAAGCTCTCAACAACCAATCTAGGTGCCAACATGTTTTGTCACAATCAATCCATTCGAGTGGTGAATGGAGCCCCATCACTCACAATGCGCCAGCCAAATGAAACAGGCATGGCTCCAGCTCAGTCCTGAGTCCTGGGCGTGAGGATGCCTGCATCTCTGGCCAGGCTCCAAAACTGAACAAGAGTCACCACATGCGGATCCTCGAGCGAGCGGAACGATGCAAAAGCACGCGAAGGTCGCCGGCAAAATTATGGGCCCCAGCAAAACAGGCGAGCCAAAAACAAAAAGAGGGTTCAAGGTATTGAACTCAAAGCATCACTGAAACCGCTTCTGTCCTCCCCCAAGAGTGGCTGGACGGCCCGCGAACGGGCATAAGACTGGCCAACATGGTTCGTGCGATTTGCAAGTGAGATGTGACATTTGATCGAAAGAGCCTCTCGAAGGTCTCCCAAGTTCCTGATGCAAGATCCATGGTTGCTGCAAACAAGTTCCTGGTGCCCGCCTTAGGAGAACGTTGAAAATTCCCTTCCTGGGTTCAATTCGTGTCCACAACTTCTCACGATCGCAGCTTCAGGTAGCACTCTCTCCCGCACCCTGCCGTCATGCATGCGGTCATGTGTCTTGTTCAAGTGTCGTTTCTGCTTGCTACAAATGTTCTTGCTGCTGTTGCTGCTGCTGCTGGTGGTGGTGGTGGTGGTGCTGGCGGTGCTGGCGGTGGTGGTGCTGGCGGTGCTGTCGGCGGCGGCGGCGGCTGGTGGTGGCGGCGGTGGTGCTGGTGGTGGCGGCGGTGGTGGTGGTGGCAGTGCTGGTGGTGTTGTTGCTGCTGTCATCTTCGTGTCCACTGTCGCCGTCGATGTCTAGCGGCATTCTGCCACAACCGAATCATCGACAAGCAAGTAAAGTCGCAATAGACAACCGCAAGGCCGAATTAAAGAGTGCTGTATGCACGTAGGCATCCTTGCAGTATCCTCTTGAGCAAATGCATGTAAGTGCTTCTTACCAAGTAAGACTTGCTGCTTGCGACACAAATCCAGGCTGCTGCACGGGAGACTGCACAAAGGTCTTTGTCTGTGTGTGTGTGTGTGTTGCATGCTTCCTGTGTGCCTGAGTAGCCAGCAGGATCTTGGCGGCGTCAGCATAGCCTATAGCAAACAAAACTAGTCAACGTCTCCGTGTAGGGAATGATAGCGACTTGCTCAATGGGCATCTGCATGCTTGTGGCACGTGTATCTAAATCCTGAGATTTGGATGCACTACACAATAGCAACAAGGTCTGGTGATTCAGAATTGCGCCTGTAGGCGGCGTCTTTGCCAGTCCAGCCTTGTCGCTTGGCCTGGCAATGCGCCAAGTCAGAGCGAATACCTCATACTGTGGCACAAGTGTGGCACAAGTAGCGAGAAAAGGCTTGTGAGAACGTCTTAATGCAGCTGTTTCCACATACACACACACACACACTACTCACACACGCATTCATTCGCTTGTGTGGCACTCTTTTATTGACCAGAAGTGCTTTGCATTTCCACTGCGCGTTTGCTACTCGGCCATTCTGAACACCTGTGCTCACATGATCACCGAAAGCACCCATGTCATGAAAGAACACATCTTCCCAAAAGCCTGCTGGCTTTGGGACAAAAATGTTGCTCTGGCGCGCAACGCTTCCCACAGCAAGTCTCAGGAAGTGTGGGAAATCACTCGTGCACCTTCCCCTTGCCTGAGAATCATCTCCAGGTCAGAAATGTCGGTGCAGCCTTGTGAAAGCAGCCAATGCGAGAAGCCAGCTTGGCAACGCATCAAGATTCCCAAGCTAAGCTTCCAGCCGCAAACGGGGTTGTCATCTGTCTTTGCAGTGTCCGGTTTGCCTTCGAGCCACAATAGGCAAGCAACAGGCCCATCTTGCAATGTGAGAAGCCCGCTGTCCACCATGCGGTCGGCTTCAAAGCTCCTGAGGAAAAATACGAAACCAGAGGGATTCTGAAAGCACTGAGGTCAGAGCCCCTGGTACACCTTCCCATCATCAAAGGTGTGACGGCCATGGCCCTCTTTGACATTAGCTTTCCATTCCTGGCAGCCAGTCCCGTCCCTTCTGGGTGCCAATGCATGCATGCCAAGAGCGCCCCATGGTAGTATGCTCCGTTGGCATAGTAGAATGTGCCGATTCCTTCACGCCCTGAAGTTGCAATGCTTCAACAGGAATCTCAATGGGAAGGAAGACGCACATTCCAAGCCCGGTACTGCCCCAGACCCATTGTCCGGTGTATCGATTGTTGAGCCTCGGTTCGCAATTACCTCATTCAGCGTACCCCATGCGTCCATGATGCGAGAAATCATGCATGCAAGAAGCTGCTGCGTCGCATGAATCTGTGCTTCATGTTTCCGCATCTCCTGTGCATCATTCGGATGCACAACGCAGAGTGTAAACAGTGCAAGCTGTGCAAGCTGTGGAAGCTGTGTAAGCTGTGTCAGCAAGTCCTGTGGCGGGGCACTTGGGGCTGGTGCACCCTGCCAGCAATCACTTCCGGGGGGACCAAGGCAGTGAAAGCTAGGCCTGTCCAGCGGAGGGCGGTGGCGACGGTCGATTGAGCCAGCTCTCCTCAGGCGTCATTTGGATGGCTTAATGTCCACAGTCTCACAACCATCCTCGAACAGTCTGGTCCCAGGTCTGCTCATAAACAAATACTGCAATCATCCAACACCTTTTTGTTTGGGACCAGACCTGCACACAGCAATGCAACCTCCCAGTGCAGAACATACAACGCCAAGTCTAGCCAAGTCTCTATAGCGTCAGGGTGGTCCAGTGTGAGCCAGGTATGGGTGCCAGCACCTGACAAAATGAGTCACTGTGCAAGTTCAGCAACCCACCCGGCGCACCGTGCGGGTAGTTGTCCTCAGTTTGCCAGGGTAAGGCTAAGTCCAGAAGTTGCAAATCGCGAATCGGTGTCATGGCAATCCAAGCATCAACCCATTCCCCAGTGTAAATTTCAGCACCTAGGCTGACGACGCAGACTCTCCATGCGCAAGAATCGACAGCTGCAGCCCAGCAACTGTTTCCATTGCGCCAAATCATGGTGCCATGTCCGTGCATCTTGCCCATCCTCAACAGGAAAAAGCAGTGCAATGCGGGATCTGGAGGACAAGGCTCAGCCCTCTGCTTCCATCTGCCCTCATAGCAGTTTCCACTGGGCCAGAGCCTGTCGCAGTGCATGAAGACTCGACAATGCTTCAAAGTCATCACTTGCATCTGCCAAATCAAAGGCTCCGACTGCTTCCCGAAGCCATGTTTCTGGCCAGCCTGCCAAGTCTACATCGGCTTGTGCAGTGGCGGAGGCAACGTGGCTGTGGCTCAAAAAAGGTACCCAAAGTGGCACGCAACGATGGAATCTCATTCAAAATGCCTGCCATCCACCGTCATAGAATGACGGGCCATCTGAGCTGTATGTCAGCTTTCCGTTCCTCAACTGCATCAACCGTGTCTGCCAAAACGTCACAAGGCCAGCACAACACTGATGATGATGATGATGATGATGATGATGATGATGATGATAGTTCTTTGCAACTGCTTCTGGGCGCCCGCACCCATGGCGCTTGCCATCCAACCACTGGCCGTCGTAACGAGTCTTGCCTGTGCTCCCAACTTCCAAACCAAAAACATACGAAGCACCAAGGCCAAGGCCATCTTGAGACTGGTACGAGCCCTCTCCTAACATCGCATGGATGGCCATGGAAACGAGCCCAAGACCAGCAAAGTAAACGAAATCTGCACACTTCCTTGCGCCAAGCGTGCAACGCAGCTGCATGCAATTTCGCCGCGCGTGTAAACTGGACGCCCTGACCGTTGCGCATGCCGCGCAGGAGCTCGCCCTCACAGTGCTGCTACATACACCCATGTGGTGGCCATGTGGTGGCCATCTGTCACAGCATGCCTGTCTGCATCAACCCTTCACAGGCCTCGTACTTGGATCCATCCGGCCAAATATACCTTGCAGCTAGCGAGAAGCCGCAAATGCTTTGCCTCTTTTCTCCCCGCGCCTTCCTTTACCTTCAATCTGACTTGCCACGAAAGGCCTTGGCTATCGCACAGCTAGGAGGCATCGGCCCTGCGCTCTGAGCCAGTGACCCTTCGTACTTTGTTCCGGTAGACCTTGGAAGGCCGTCCGGCATCCCTCCGACGAAAAAGCTTCCGATGAAACAACGCTGATGCACACAGCCTACTGAAGCCCTTGCCAGAGATACGTAGAGCTGCCGCCTTCCAAGAATTGCGAACCAAGGAGGTCCTGGCCAAATTCAACGTGTCACTCCTCCATTGCTAGATTGAATTTGTGGCTCGACTCCTTGGGTTGATTTTGTTGCAAAAAAAAGAAAGTATGTATTCAAGCCCTTAGACGAGTATGATTCTAGCGAGGTCAGCTCGAAAAAATTATACCATGCTATGGGCGGGTGCAGGAGGACAGGGCACTGACACGGCAGCTCTGTGCGTGCGTTACTTTTGCAGCAGCACCAATCCAAGAGAGGATCGATGAATACTGTTTGCTGTGAGACTTCAATTTGGTAACTTTGGTCGAATCATGCTCGAATCAAGCTAGTGATGTTGCCACCTGCCAAAGCACAAGTGGGCGACATCAAGGCCAGTTCTCTGGAAGCTGGGACAACGTTGGATGCAATGGATGTGCACGTTCCCAAAAGACAGCGGCTCTGATGAGGCGCAGAAATGGAGAACGCTCGACGTGAAGCTCTCCGAGACTGAATCGAGCTCTATTTTCCTGCGACGCCTCAAGTCCAGGGGATGAGAGCACGTGGCCAATTCAATTCAGGTTGGATGGTGCCCACATGTTGCTCAACTATTGACGAAACCGAAGGGCATGATGGAAGCAAGAAGCAGCGTTGGCCCGGCAATCTGTAGTGAGGGCATAGGATCAGTCAGCCAGCGCCGACAGCAGCGCAAGTCTGGACTTGCATGTGAGCCCCGAATGCACGCGAATCCCAGTCCTCGCGAATGATCCCTGAGTACTTGTTGTCTGCCAGGTCACAGTTGACAAACTGCGGAGTCAGATCCTTCTTTACCTGTCTCAGTGAGCGCGAACTCAAGCTTCTCTGCGCGGAAAATAAACTAAACCGCTACGAATCACAAGAGAGCAACATCTCTCCACACGGACCCAAATAACATTCCTCTTGGCAATCCATGAAGACCATTCCTGCAAAGACTGGCTCCGCGCTCCTCTTTGTTCTTGGCATCCTTCTTCCTCTTGGAGCGCTTGGAGCTGCTCATGTCGAGGCTAGGGCATAGACGGCGAAGATGTCCGTCCTTCACGGTCTGTGTAACCTGCTGGTTTGTGTAACTTCTGTGCGGCTTCTTTGGTTGGCTGCGGTATGCTTCCAAGAGGTAGGGTAGGACCGCAAAGCGGGAAGCCTAGACAATATTCTAATATTCCTGTGTGCATCTAGCGGAAGTTGCGCTTTGCGCCTTCCTGCGAGCAAAAGGAGCGAGCAAGTGGGACCGGCAGAGAGAAGCTGTTTGTATAATTTGCTCATAAAAAGCGACATGGCGACATCAATATGTCCGCCGACATTGTTCGGCGTGTCGGATACCTAAGAGAGGACTATTGGATACCTGGTTTTTCGGTCGCCACCCCCGCCCCAAAAAACAAAATGATTAATAGGGGGCGTGTAAGGCAGGGAATTTTCAGTTTTCAGTTTCAGGGGCAGGCTTCATTTTCAACAAGCAAGCCATTTTGTTCAAAACACCAAGGGGGATTGTAGGGATTTTTCAGATTTTTTAAACAATTTTTCATAATGAAACAGGTTAGGATATTGTCATTTACATGGTTAGGATTCTGGATTTATCAATCATATTAAAAAATTAACAATATGATAGATAATTATGGTTCTGTTTCATTTACTATATTCATGTTGTTTAGATGTTTTTTAGTTCGCTCGTGTCTTGCTTTGTGATGAAAAGTCACCATAACTTTACAGCAGGGACATTCATATCGCCATTGTCGATATTCTTTGTTATATTCTTTTTTGTATTCCTTATTTCGTTCATAATATTCCTTTGCCTGTTGTCTTTCCTTTTCTCGGTTCTGTCTATGTTTCTCTCTACTTTTCTCACCACACCCATTACAGAGTTTTCTATTATCCGTAAATTCTACATCAGGACTTGACTTTTTACACCAACTACATGTTCGCTCATTTTGTCCCTCCATAATATTTATACCCATTATCCCTTTAAATGTTCTTGGGGAAATCAATATAACATTTTTTACATTTTTTTCATTTAATAACAGTCTAAGATATTGACATTTTCAAGGTTCGTGTTTCAGACAATTTTTAAGCTTTCTGGGGGTTTCAAGTGTTTAATCATATTATAAGTTGTTAATATGAATAAACCAACAATATTGCTTAGGGCTTCCAATTGCTAAAATCAGCATAAATACCAATGTTTTCACCAATCTCATTCCACCAATGTTCTATTTTTCTTGACCAGCCTAATACTGTTTCTTTGTCAATATGTTTGTTTCTTTTCTTATGCTTCTCATAATTAAACCGAATGATTGCTTGAAGAATTAGAAAATTTGCTCTCCTAAAAAAGAATTTCATATCTTCAATGTTTTTACAACCTGTGAATGCTATATTGTTTAACTCTGCTCCATATTCAATTACTTTTCCTTCACCATATAGTTCATTGTAAGTCTTCATTAACAAATCACGATAATAATATCTTACTAATGGGTTTTCAGGATAACCTAATTGCTTCATTGAATTAAATACATCGTTCATTTCTTCATAGGATGGATATGGATTTAACTTAATGAACCTTTTAACTTCATCACTTTCTTTTTGTCTTTTCTCCATCAACTTCTCTACATTTTCTGTGGTTAATACTGTCATACCTTCCATTGCTCTTAATATATTAAGGTCTTGTTTCTTTAAGTATATACTTGACTTTAAGGTAGTTTAATAATATTATAAGATAATAATATTAATAAACTTAGTCATCATCACTAACATCATAAGTATCTATATAATTAAACCAGTCTAAAATCAACCTTTTCTTTTCTACCAAATGACAGACGAATCTACGGTAAAACTCATTATCAAAAATGTGCTTATAAACGACCTTGTCTTTGTTTTTTATATATTGCCATTTCAACATTTTAAGAAAATCCCTACACATCGAGATGCTAAAATCTCTACAAGATACATAAGCGTCATCATGATTAAAAAGTAAACTATAATGAAATTGAGTAGCGGTTTCATAATACAAGATTAACCTATTCTCGTATCCATACTCTTTTAATGTTTTGTCAAAATCAGTTGTAAATATTGTCTGTAATGACTTTTTCGTCGGACACTTATTTAACCTCGTCATATACCAAATCCACTTATCCATTTCTTTTAAATTGTCAGGTTCGTTTTTCATTAAATGTTTTGTAATGGTGCATCTTTTACAACATACAAAACTCAAAATATTATCAATGATACAGTCAGGAAATATGTCATTTGCTTTTTTGACTTTGTTGTTGAATATCTTACAACCACGGCATTTTACAATTTCTTTTGTCAGTTCTTCTCTGACACACTTATTCATTTTTCTTAATATATTAAGGGGTCATTTCTTTAAGTATTTTTAGTTTTTGCAGGGTTGATATTTTGGTTTTCAGTTTCATCATTTTCACTTTCAGACTCGTCCCCATCCACACCGGTAGGGACAGGCATGTCAGTAGGAGGTGCTATTTCATAATTAGGATTTTCTTCTGAGGATGATGAATTAACAGTATGTGTTGAAGAACTATTAACAGTGATAGGAGGAGAACTATTAATGTTTAACTCAACTTCTTCACTAACATTTGTATTTAACCAATTCATTATGACAGTTGCTATATCGTATGATGTTACTAATGAATTCATTGTTAAATTAACTAATAACTCTGAAATTTGGATTGTGGTTAATGTAGTGTGATATGTTAAATGTGCTACTATTTGTCCTATACTAAAACCTGACCTCATCATAAATTCTACAATCCTCATCAACATAAATCCGCCGACCCCTTCTCCTCAAAGGGGGAGGCGCACGGGAAGGGTGGTTACAGCACAAGTCCAAGGTTGGTTGGTAAATGAGCATAGCCGAAGATTCAACATTATCATGTGATATACTGACAAGCGTGTCATCATCATCATCGTCATCATCATCAGCATCATCCTCGTCACCGTCCTCGTCATCATCACCGTTACCATCATCGATGATAACCATCATCGTGCATCCTCTGCATCACCAACAGTCATGATGATAATCATGTCTACGCATCCTCTGCATCTCCAATCAGGTCACAACGATGATGATGATGTGATGATGAGCATGTCATCATCACCCTGATGGTGGTCATTATCGTCATCATCATCATCATGGATGATAACCATCATCGTGCATCCTCTGCATCACCAGCAGTCATGATGATAATCATGTCTACGCATCCTCTACATCTCCAATCAGGTCACAACGATGATGATGCGATGACGATGAGCGTGTCATCATCACCATGATTGTGGTCATCATCGTCATCATCACCATCGTCATCATCATCAGCATCATCATCATCATCGTCATCGTCATCATGGACGATAACCATCATCGTGCATCTTCTGCATCACCAACAGTCATGATGATAATCATGGCTACGCACCCTCTGCTACGATGACGGTAGTCGTCCTTATCTTGTTTACATAGGTTTCAAGGGTAGCGTTAGACCCGATTGGAGATGCAGAGGGTGCGTAGTCATAATTATCATCATGACTGCTGGTGATGCAGAGGATGCACGATGATAGTTATCATCCATGGTGGTGATGACGATGATGATGATGATGACGATAATGACCACCATCATGGAGATGATGACTTGCTCATCATCATCACATCATCATCGTTGTGACCTGATTGGAGATGCAGAGGATGCGTAGACATGATGTTGTCGTCCTTATCTTTTTTATATACGTTTCAAGGGTGACGTTAGAGCCGATTGGAGATGCAGAGGGTGCGTAGACATGATTATCATCAAGACTGTTGGTGATGCAGAAGATGCACGATGATGGTTATCGTCCATGATGACAACGGTGATGACGACGATGACGATGATGATGATGATGCTGCTGATGATGACGATGATGATGATGACGATGATGACCACCATCATGATGACATACTCATCGTCATCACATCATCATCGTTGTGACCTGATTAGAGATGTAGAGGATGCGTAGACATGATTATCATCATGACTGTTGGTGATGCAGAGGATGCACGATGATGGGTATCATCGATGATGATAACGGTGATGATGACGATGACGATGACGATGATGATGATGACACGCTTGTCATTGTATCACATCATAATCGTTGTCGCCCTTATCTTTTTTATGTACGTTTCAAGGGTAGCGTTAGACCCGATTGGAGATGCAGAGGGTGCGTAGTCATGATTGTCATCATCACTGTTGGTGATGCAGAGGATGCACGATGATGGTTATCGTCCATGATGACAACGGTGATGATGACGATGATGACGATGATGACGATGATGACGATGATGACGATGATGACGATGATGACGATGATGATGATGATGACATGCTCATCATCATCACATCATCATCGTTGTGACCTGATTGGAGATGCAGAGGATGCGTAGACATGATGTTGTCGCCTTATCTTTTTGATATACGTTTCAAGGGTAGCGTTAGAGCCGATTGGAGATGCAAAGGCCGCGTAGTCATGATTCTCATCATGACTGTTGGTGATGCAGAGGATGCACAATGATGGTCATCGTCCATGATGACAACGGTGATGATGACGACGATGACGAGGATGATGCTGATGATGATGATGACGATAATGACCACCATCATGGAGATGATGACACGCTCATCATCATCACATCATCATCGTTGTGACCTGAGTCGAGATGCAGAGGATGCGTAGACATGATTATCATCATGACTGTTGGTGATGCAGAGGATGCACGATGATGGTTATCATCGATGATGATAACGGTGATGATGACGAGGACGATGACGAGGATGATGCTGATGATGATGACGATAATGACCACCATCATGGAGATGATGACTTGCTCATCATCATCACATCATCATCGTTGTGACCCGATTGGAGATGCAGAGGGTGCGTAGACATGATTATCATCATGACTGCTGGTGATGCAGAGGATGCACGATGATGGTTATCACATTGGAGATGCAGAGGGTGCGTAGACATGATTCTCGGATGCACGATGATGGTTATCGTCCATGAT